AATTTTTAGGGAATCAATCAGGTAGGTCTACCAAATATATTATTTTCAAAGATATCTGGATAATATATTACTCTACCAACGCACATATTTTTTTTCTCATAACGATATCATAATGAGCATTGAGAAAATGATGGCGATTGTTAGATAACACGGTTAGATCGCTAGTAAACACCAGTGATTCGGCCGGACAAGGCCTTACCCGTTAAAATGGCATATAATGATTGATACAAAACGTTCGCGCAAGGATATACTAAATTATATGATATTATTGAAACAATCAATTTCGAAAAGACCGACAACATGCCAACAATGTATATTCCATTAACACTACTGCCTACCGCATGTGTTGCTTTGCTTTTATAATGGCAGAAATCAAAAGAAGTATATTAGACCTTTTCCAAAGACAGTAAAGTTTCGTCATAGAGAATGGTACATCCTTGTTCAGAAAGGTAGTAACCATAGAATAATTTTGCCGGTATCAACATGTACTCTACGTTTCATAAACTGAAGCTTAAGTCCTGTTTTTGTTTATGGTGATCAAGAGATTTTTTTTTCCATTAAGCAACGTTATGGGTTGGGTTTTTAAATATTCTGTTGATAATGTTTGATTGATTTGAACAAACATATGTTTTATAAATTATGTGAACTATTTTGGTATAAATATTAGATAACATTCAGAAACGTTTGCCTTTATTGATGGCGTTTTGAAAATAGTTCTAACATCGATCGCGTATTTTTTTCATTGGTCCATTTGTATTTGTTTATATAGGTCATATACGCTAAATACTTAAACAGTCACAATTTGTATTATTTTTTATTATAAAAAAGTGTTAAGAAAAATATATAAAAAAATTATCCTTAAAAACGTTATTCTAAAAGCATTAAAAAAGGAAAATATAAGTAAAAGCATAATTATTCTTTTAATTAATGTTTTCTGTCTATTATTTTGTAAAGTCCTTCAAGGACCATTTAAACACCGTTTTGTTATCACCGTTATAATTAAAAAATAAATTAAATTAAATCATAGACTCGCTACTTACCAAGGGGCTATTATTTTTTCTATTTTTCACACATATTAGGAAGCCAAGCGATTTCAGTGGGTGCGAAAACTTTTTCAATTTTGGGCAAAGATTCGATTGTGGCTATAGAAAAGTAGTCTTTTCTATGCCCACGAGTGGTCCGTTGTCAACATTTACCTCCGGATGCCAAACTATCCAAGACATTCATTCACATATCGTGTGAGGACTTGAACTGTTTTATTGATTGGTTTTTCTTCAGACTTGAGTGATAGTTTTCACAGATAAATGTCATGTTAAAGTTCTTTAAATGCACTTAAATTTTCCCTTTTTTTTCAATTGGAAACCAAAGTCAGATGCAGTGTTGGTCCGCACATTTTTTTTTTTTTTTTTTTTTTTTTTTGGGTCCTTCCCTTCCTCGCCGTTAAGGCTATACGGGATTTTCCCGGGCCAGGGAGTGTGGGCGGGGATTTAAAAGACTCCCCCGGCACCGGGACGCGAACTCGTGACTATTTTTATATCTTTGTATTCATATGTCAGGTTGCCAGGCAACGGCGGTGCAGTGCACACGCTTTAGCCCATTCGGCTACCCCGCCCACTGGTCCGCACATTGTTCAATTTTAGCTTTAAACGCCCACAAACTTCCACAGCTTGGATTGGAGCTAGACAATTTAGATGTTTTTCCTTATTTCTTCTCCCTCTACCCTCTACCTTTCCCACACGCGATTGCTAAGTCAATGTTTTATTTTTTTTTCTAGGCACTGTCGAATTAACATCTAATTCTTAGCACTCAAAACTAATGTTTGCCTAACTTTCTCTCCTATTTTTCATGATTAGGATTACGTCAGATGTCGGCAGCGATCGTTGACTTAAACTAGCTTGTGTATTAATCAACGTATTAGGTTATTTAGGTTAATGATAATCGTCATTAAGATAGAATGAAACAGGCGTATTATAGAACCACTAGATCCGAAAAACAGTGGGAATAAATAAAATTTCTCTAACTTATTGCATACTTAATTTCTTCAAGTATGCAAGTGTTACATAAGGGTTTTACTAAATATTCTGGAAGAATTTGACTTTTATTAATTATTATTATTCTCACGAATATAGCTGGAAGGTAATAGTAATTATTTAGTTATGTTATAGCGATATCTTTACTTAATTGAAAACCGGCAATATTGTCCGAAACAATCGACAAACATCTTTTACATCTATCAACATTATGAACAACAGGTTTGACCTTTTCACTTTTTTTAGATTTATTGAACACGGAACTTATATTCCTTATTGTGCTTCCGCTCGGCTGCACGGTAAGCGAAGATTTACGATACCGAGATATTTGATGGCTCAGGACAAAGGCTAACCGTCCTTGGCCAGGGAAAGTAGTTTAGCCTCTTCACTGCCACTTCAGCCTGTCATGTCTTCATCGAAACTGATCCTATCTGTCTTTATGAGACGTATTGCAAACGATATCTATACGGGGGTGTATTGGAATCACATCAATAATTTACACGAGATACGATAGTCTCTTCGACTACTCTCGTATTCTAAAAATAAATATAGGATGTTGATTCGCTAAACATCAGTATTGAATTCTTGGCTTCAATCTACTTTAATTTATGTAAATCAAGAAAGGGTAAAATCCGAAAAAAAAAAAACATGCACTATATGATGATTAGATACCAGATATGTATAAATGTGTTTACACTTTTTTTTTCAAACCCTTGTCCAGAATTTAAAAAATAATAAATGAAGCATATTTTATTTTACATATTTGGAGAATATTTTATATTTTTATATATTTGAAGGATACCTACACATTATCGAAGAGGAGCCCATCTCCTCTCACCCCCCCCCCAGGTCGATGGCGCAAGAACCTACTCCCCTACCCTTCTCCCAAGATATTTATTGCTTACTTTCCTTAAAAACAAAGCAAGCTAAGGTTAAATTAGAAAAGTCGTAGGATCGTATACAATTACGCTTGATGCGGTCTGTTCCATGTTTTCTCTGGTCCGTTAGTCAGAAAATTTAAAAATTCGTCAAAATATGTCCCCAAAAGAATTTTTTATGACGTAAGTTGCGCCGCGATTCCTCCTTCTGTGAATCTCCTTCTATGAACCCCTGCATTACCGTCCGTAATAAGTCAAGAACGAAAATTCATATTTAAATACTTATTTTGTTAAATCTGTCAAGTGCCTAAATCTAAGCAACCTCTAAATATTTCTCATCCCTATGGTTAAAATATATTCGTGAATTCCCAAATGAATATTTTCCTGAAAATGAAAAAAGATCCTGAGAAAGGCCCAAACTCATGGGCGCAGACATCGGAGGGGGAAGAGGGGAGAGATGGAGAAAATGATTGCCTCGCCCTCCCCAATAAAAATTGAGAAGGGCTAGAATATCGTTTCTTCCTCCCTCCTCCCCCCTCCTCCCAATATTCCGTACAAGAAAAATAAAATCAAAATCAATAACTATTAATCTATTACCGAAATCAATTAAGAAATAGGAAAAGTAGACCAGATTGCTGAGCTATGGCCTAGATGTATGTTCACTAGTATTTTACCATGCTTCATGCTCCTGTATTATATTTCTTTCTAAAAGATGTTTTTTGTTGTCACCACGCCATAACTCTGTTGTAGGCCACAATTCTTCATTAAATCCAATGATTGAGAGATCATTTTAAAGATTTTCTCACCTTCAGGTAGGAAAAATTGTCACATTTCCCCAAATTTAAGGGAAAAAAGTTATGTAGGAAAAGCAACTTTATTTGTGAATATAAAACACTATGCATTTTTCTTGATTGTACCCATGATTATTAGAAAGATTACTAAGTTACTTACAAAACAAAAAAACTATTGTAAAAATCATCCAATTAATAACAAAAATACAGTCCATTAGTTTTGGTATACATAATAATTTCTTCCTCTTTAAAGATACTGCATTTAATATTCTACTACCCTTGTTTTCCAGGCTGATATATAGTTTATTACTTCTTAAAGGCATTTTTTATTAGTACATTTTATATTTTTTAATAATTTAGAAAATACTACAATCGAGACTTTATTTTGAATATTACCTTTTCAGTCAGTGTTTAAAAATAGGCCCTAGTAAAGCAATTTGAACAAATATTTTGGTTTGTTATGTTAAATAGAATGTTGTATTAGACTAAGGCAAAGCAATTAATTCCACCCTCACATAATACATAGGATCTACTTAGTTCCATATTGTTTTGCTATTTCTTCACTAAACAAAATTTTCTGTGAATTATTCGCATGGGCCAACTAGTTATTGGAATATTAGTTTATATTAAAAAATAACTCTATAAAGCAAAATATCTTAGGATTTTATGATTGATGTATATGTACCCTTTTATTTTTACATGCAAATTTTATCACATTTCGCATAGTAAATTTTAAGCATCGGAGTTCATCTCAGCCTCAAATCTATAAAAATAAATATTTATATAAATTTATTTTTATATAGTATTAATTTTTTTAAATTTACAATGTTTGCATTGATTATGTTAATTATCACTCATATATTTTACACATAATATAAACACACAAGACTTTTTTGGGGGGTCTATCGTCCTTCAACCTGGTCTATCTCCAGAATGACATCAATTTCAATTTTACCTTCCTTCATACTGAAAAGTATAATTAGTTGGGATGTAAAAAAAAGTTTTTCCCGGGATGGATGTACTTCTTCCTGATTTTTTAATATTTTTTCAGCGTTGTTAATTATATCATACATTTATGACTTTCATATTTGGTATAATTTTCAGTAATTTAAACATCTGTAAGTTATTAGTGTATGTAGTTTTCAAAATCTTTTATTGTTAACTATGTTTGTGAAAAATAATGAGATGTATTTTTAAAACTTTACAGGAGTCAGTCAAAGGCATCCTACCTGTCATACAGAAGAGAGCCGAAAGAAAAGGAGAAAGGCCTTCCAAACTTCCAAGGCAGTTACAAAAGAACCATGTCACCTTCTGGGGGAAGGATCATTGAAACAGCCTGTAAGTATAAATTATAATGAACTTTTTTGTCTGTATGCATATCTTCTTGAAAAAAATGATTTTTCTTACATTAAAATTTAAATTCAATCAATCATTTTATAAATAGAATTTAGTTACCTCATGTCAATTATGAATCTCGCTTGCATATAGTTCTACATCTAATAATAATTACAATAATATGCCACTAATAATGGTATTTACAGATATTCGAATTTTAGCTATATTTCATTTTAAAATATCAATTCTTGCTATAAATTTTTATTTGTCCTCCTAAGTAAGTACATTTGAAAAATTATTTTGAAACTTTCACTTACTGTAATGTACTTTTACAGTGGATAAGCCTATTGAAAAGGTACCTGATGCCTCTCAGGTCAGTGATGAAGAAAAGTTAATTAATGAAACACCTAAAGAGGAAAAACAGCCAGCTAAAACTGAAGAAGAATCTCCTTCACCTAATGTCGATTCTGTCTGTGAAAGGGACATTGGCTCAAAAACACTTCCCCGAGGTTACCCGATTGCTGGACCTGCTAAAAGGGGAGTGCGCACACCCCGTGCTCAATCAGATCCAACATGTTCTACTAAAGTCGAAAAGAAGACTGTATCTGCATCAACTCAAGATAATTTAGGTTTGTAACTACTTCATCAAAAATGAGTATTTTTTTTTCTTTTTACTTTAGATTATAGAAATATAGAATAACTATGTTTAAAAAAAAATCACATTTTCTGTTTTCAGTATTAATAAAGAAAAAGAAATAATATTAAAATGTTACTTACTTAATCCAGTCCTCTTTGTTACTGCTGAGCAGTGTGAGGTTCCTTCTTATACAGCCTCACCCAAGAATCTCTGTCCTAATATTAAAATGTGGAAAATAAAAATAAATAATGTATAATATACTTTATACAATAATAATATGTATATACTTACTCAATTAAAAGAGACAGAAAACTTTTTAGTAATCAATATAAATCATGTACATTAAATTATATAAGTAACATTACAAGCAGGTATAATTTTGTTGAATAAAGTTCTCTTCTATCTTTTAACATTTTTTTAAAAAATAAGCATTAGTAGTAGCTCACTAGTTAAAATAGATAGTTTTATTTTTATAAAATAAAATAAAAACTATTTAAAGGGTGAAGTGATCGCGTCCGGACAGTTAGTCCACGTGCCCCCTGGATAACCCGTAAACACGGTAAGTAAATGATCACATTTATCGCCAACTCAGTCTAATATACAAAGCAAAACATGCCCAGGCTCTATCAAAAATGGCCAAATGCTCGCAAGTTTTTTAAAGTCTTAGGCAAGGCTCAACTCAAAGCTATCTTTTGGAACGCAGGCGGTTTAACCAAAGATAAATTCACCGAATTGAAACATATTGTGACAGAAAGTGATGTAGACTTATGTGCGATCGTCGAAGCTGGAGCGGCAACTGAAAAACCTGAGATGCACCGAATTCACGGATACCAAACATATTTCCTCCCAAGAGCAAGACAAGTTGCATCTGGTATTATGCTAGCTGTTAAGGCATCCATCGTTACGGATATGAAAATTAGGAAACGGCAAGATGCAAGTGATAAATCCGAGGCTCTGGAAGCAAATTTGTGGTATGGCAAACGGCACTTCCGAATATTCGTAATGTAAAACCCTCCTCAAAACAGACCGGACCTCACATGGTTGGAAAGGAACTGGAATGGAGAGAGTATACTATATGGAGACCTGAATGCCCCTTCCACTATATGGGGATATAATAACACTGATACAGTAGGCAGAATATTTGAGGATTTCCTTAACTCAAACCCTGCACAATATATTCGAAATGAGACAAAACGTCCAACCTTTCTTTCTTTCACTGGCAGTACTTCCTGCCCTGATGTTGTATTGGCGCACACCTCAATCTCTGATAACATAAAGCATACCCTACTACCAGCTATAGCAGGTTTCGGACACAATATCCTTGTGGTTAACTTGAACCTGAATCAAAATAATAATAGTAAGACCAAAGAACCGCAACTGCCACGATGGAATTTAAAGAAAGGAGACTGGAAGCTTTTCAGAAAATTGACAGATGAACTCATCACTGATAAATTAATCATAAACGGTAACATAGATAAAACATATACTAATATAAAAGGAAATTTATATAGGTGTGCCCTGAAGACTATTCCCCGAGGAACGGTACGAAAATATCGTCCTTTCTGGAATGAAGAACTGCAAAAGCTAAAAGAAGAAAGAGATGATTTTAGAAAAAGAGCTGAGAGCTCCAAAAATCATGCAATTATAAGTTTACTTAAAAGGAAAACAGCTATATTTAAAAGAAAAGTTATTTCAGCTAAACAAAACTCATTTAGAACGTTTCTACAGAAAATGGACTTTAGAAAAGATGGAGTTAAGGCACATGAATTTCTTTCAAAAATAAATAATGAATCAAACTTAGCAAACCATCCAATAACTTTCGATGGGAAAACAATAAGCAAGCTAAAAGAAATAGCTAACTCCTTCTGCAAACACTATTCAAAAGTAAGCAATTACAAGCCAAAAAAAAAAACGGAAATCCAGTCACAAACTCTACACATTGTTGTGTAATGAGTGAAGAAGATTATACACTATTCTGGAGAGATATCCAAACGCAAGAACTAAATGATGCTCTTACTAAATCTAAGAAAGGTAAAACCGCAGGCCCATATGACATACTGTCGGAATTTCTTATACACCTGGGGGATATGGCCAAAGAAACAGTACTAAAATTTTTAAATGATGTCTGGAAAACACATATTCCGTGTGAATGGAGGAAAGCAAAAGTGGTACCAATCTTGAAGAGAGGAAAAAAAGGAGACATGCCGGAAAATTTCAGACCCATTGCATTAACAAGTACTTTCTCCAAGCTCTACGAGAGAATCGTTGCAGAAAGATTTGAGAAATGCATAGAAAAATATGATCTAATATCTTCTAAACAAGCTGGCTTCAAGAAAAATCAAAACACTATTGAACAAGTAGCTCGTCTAACACAAGAAATAAAAAACGGCTTCCAAAGATAACAGAGCACCCTGGCTATATTCGTAGATTTTAAGACGGCATATGATAGAGTTTGGAGAAAGAAGCTGGTGAGTAAGCTTGTTGACAAGGGAGTCACAGGATATCTGCTCAAGACTATATCTTCTTTCTTAATCAAAGGTTTATAAGGGTGCGATATAAAAACGTTGTCTCGAGATATCGCCAAACAAAACAAGGCCTCCCACAAGGCTCGGTGCTGAGTCCTTTCCTGTTTAACATCATGATTGATGATATCACGGAACTCACTGAAACTATTCCGGGTACAAATGCTCTGCTGTACACAGATGACCTCGTCATTTGGGCAACAAGTAGTGACTTTAAAGGGCTAGAAAAGCACATGCAACATGTACTTAAATTACTAGAGAAGTGGGCCAATGAAAACAAGATGATCGTTAATTCCGAAAAGACGGAATTCCAACTTTTTACCCTCTCTACCAAATCACACGAGATCAATTTGAACCATAATAATGAAGAGCTCAAACGCACAGAAGAAGCTACATATCTTGGAGTGAAATTGGATAAAAGACTCTCTTGGAATAAACACATTGAAAAACAAATAGAACAGGCTTCAAAACGACTTTCGTTAATACAGAGGTTAGGTGGCTCAAAATGGGGAGCAACGGGGATGTTATGGCTCTTACCTACAAAACATATGTCCGCCCTGTTATTGAATATGGAGCAGAACTTGTTATCACTGCTTCGGACGCGATATTAGACAAGCTGGACATAATCCAAAATCAAGCCCTTAGACTCGTGACAGGAGGGAGCAGATATCAACCCCAATATCTGCGCTAGAATTACAAACAGGCATAGTACCTCTTGAGACACACCGGGAGCAACTGGCCATTACGCTCTATGGAAGGCTAAAACGTCTTAAGATCAACTACTGGAGTACCTATGAACCCGCACCTGAACGCCTTAAAACTCAAATTACTTTTACTAAGGCAGTGGAAGATTTGATACAAAGAAAAGGACTAGAATTAGCTGAAAGGGAGCCACTCCCTTCATTGACACAAGTTCCATTCACCAGCCAATTTGTTGTTCACTGTGATCTTCTTCAGAATGTTTCTAAGGATACAACACCAATTTACGAACAAAAGGCTATAACCCTAGAAACCATCGGAAAACGATTTCCAGAGACAGAATGGCTCCATGTATATACAGATGGTTCTGCACTGGAAGCACGCAAACATGCCGGAGCTGTTGTTTATTCAAAGGAGTTTCAACTTGCCGCCCCGGTCGGAAAGGTAGCCACAAACTTTGAAGGGGAAGTGAAAGCCATTCTCTTAGGCCTTGAGATGTTAACTGAACGGAAAGACAAGAAAGTGGCTTTCTTTGTTGACTCACAGGCAGCCATTTTGTCCCTAAAAAATGGATATAGTATAAATCCAAATGTTCCTAAACGCCATCAATATTTGAACCAATTAAAGGAAAATGGGACAGAAGTCGCTTTCCAGTGGATACCAGGCCATTGCGGGCTCCACGGAAATAATGAAGCTGATAAACTGGCCAGAATAGGTTCTGGAATGATCCAACCCGATATTCCTCTGACCATGGATTCAACAAAAAGAATCATAAAGCAGACCCTCCAAAGTTCACTGAAAGAGAAATATGTACAAACAATTGAAGGGAAACGATGGAGTGGATTGCTGGAAGAAAGTGGCAGGATCCCTAAAGACCTCCCTAGAGGGCAAGCCGTGGCATGCTTTAGAATGCTCACAGGCTACGATTTCCTTCAGAAGCACCTCCACCGTATCGGTGTAAAAGATAGCCCGACATGCCCTCTATGTTCCTTAGACATAATGACAGGAGAACATCTGGATACATGCCCTGCATTACAGGACATAAGATGTTGCTTTAATGAAATGGACAGCTATTATGCTCGGAGAGCAAAATTGTATTGGACTGCAAGAGCAAGCATTGCTAACGAAGCAGGCGTTACTTAGGCGTAGGAAAAAAAAAAGTAGCTCACCCATTACATGATTTATCCAAGAAAACATACTATTTCTGAAATATCATATCGATTCAAAATTTGCAATTAAACTAAATCCTAGACCTTCAAAAAACAAAAATGTATATGGCTGATTTGTCATCAACCTTTATTTCAAATGATAAAATGTTCCAAAGAGGAAAGGAAATGTTAATGTTTTTTTTTTTCTGATTTATGAGTTTAAGTATTAACAACTTAAGGAATACAACCATTTGGTATGGAAAAACAATCAACTTATGAATTATTGTTAATGATTGCTAGAATTTATAACAAATCAAAGTGTTTTTAAAAATTGAAGATGTATATTTCGGTCACCCTTCAGTTATTAGCCTATAACTTTATTAAACAAGGCTACAATAGTTTTGTATGAATACCAATTCTTTTACCAGTTAACTTATAATATCTGTAAATAAAAATATTTCTGTGATCTGTTGAATAGAAACAAGTTAATCTTAGAAGTTTGTTAAATTTACCTCTTTTTTTTTAATACAGAGAATAACAAATAAGAGATACATATAATTTCTTTTGCTTCATTCAAATATAATTTCTCATGATTTATTTAATATTGTAATGAAGCTCCATGACTCCAAATCATCATAAAGATTATTTACTTATTTCAAAATACTTATAAGCATTTATATTCCATTTTTCTACCATCTTTACAGACTAGTATTTTACTATTAAAAAAAAAATTTTGTTCCTTAATTTTTTATGTGAAAAACATTTTTATTATGGTCATTCATAAAAAGTGGATCATTCTTCAAAACCATGAATGATTTTTTTTCTGACAATATTTATTTTTAAGTAAGTTTCACATTTTCATTTCATTTTTCACGTTTCAAATAATTGCAATAACAAATCTGATTTAATAATTTGTATATTCTTACAATTACAATTATTATTAGTCATTAGTTTTAGCCTTTATTATTATTGTTTATTTCATATCCATTAACATAATTCACCACTTATACAGATGAAATAGTTAGAGAAGAGAAACCAGCAGTTGTCGGACGATCGCAGAGTGATCGTACTGAAACAAGGGTGAGAGTCGAAGAACCTAGGGTTAGTGATGCATCTTCGCAAACAACCCCGACACCCTCCCCTCCTCCGACACCACCAAGAAGGCACCTTCAGGAGGAGATTGAATGTGACCAGCTCTCTCGGGATCTTGCTAGTCAACTCTCACCATCTCATAAACTGCATGGCATTTTAGGTACATAGAAAGTGATATATGACTTTTTAACAATGCTATTATAGAATATTCTTTGTTTTCTTTTTTGGTTACTCTGGTCAAGTTTTATGATAACGCTGCCACTAAAGCTTAAATGGTTCATTTGCTTTTGAAATTCAATAATAATGAAGATTAACATTTAAGATAAATATGTTTATATTTTGAATTCAAAATATCCTAATATTATTTGCATCCTAAGAACTATTCTATTAAAACTAATTATATCTTGGATGGTATTAATTTTACAAAATTATAAGTTAATTACTCGAAAAGATGTTGTTTTTTATATAATTCGAAAATTGGATACAAATTTAACCACAATACAAAAAGAATTTTTTTTTTTCCAATTTAGAAAGCTGCTACAATTGGCATTATTTGTAAACAGATTTCTTGTTAAGCCCTACCTTTTACATTATTATTCTTCCTACAAAGTTGAATATTATTATTTTGTCTAACAAAGACATTATTTGTAAATACATATCTTGTTAAGTCCTTCCTTTTATATTAATATTAATCCTCCAAAGTTGAATATTATAATTGTGTCTAACAATAACAAAGACATTATTTGTAAGCACATATCTTGTTTGTCATACCTTTTATATTAATATTATTCTCCCAAAGTTGAATATTATAATTGCATCTAACAGTAACAAAGACATTATTTTTAAGCACATATCTTGTTAAGTTGTCATTATTATTGTTTCAAATAAAACAATTTCTATCTTTTTTTTTTTAACAATGTAAATTTTTAATCAAATATTTATAGCACATTTATCACAATGTCTCCCTTTCAAAATATCATTGGTGAGATATTTGAAAAATAAAATTTTCAGTAATTTCAATATTTCTATGTCAATACTAGACCTGGGCAGAATTTATTTGAAAAATAATACCGGAATAAATCCCTAAATAAACCTCGATAGTTATTTCCGAAATAATTTATTTCATGAAATAACCTGACCATTATTTCAGAAATGATTATTTCGGGAATAAATTATTTCAGGAATAAAATGATATCTGAAATGATTATTTCAGAAATAATGTTGTGAAATAATCATTCTGATTGACTTTTCAGATATAATCAATATCCGGGTCGACTGTTATGTTTTCGGGGAAACTTATTATAAAAATAATGTCAAATTTGAGATTGCGCCCCCTCCCCACCCTCTCAAATCAACGTTTTGTAACTTTTCTGAAATAATCGATATCAGGGTCGACTATTATGTTTTCGGGGTAGCTTATTATGAAAATAGGGTCGAATTTGAGATTGTGCCCATCCACCCTTCAGCCCCACCATCCCTCCCCCCTAATCGACTTTTTGTCTTTTTTTTGACTTTGTTGTAAAAGTCGATTGGGAGGGGGAAGGGAGGAGCGCAATCTCAAATTCGACCGTATTTTCATAATAAGCTACCCTGAAAACATAATAGTCGACTCTGATATTGTTTAAATCAGAAAAGTTACTAAAAGTCTATTTTGGGAGAGGAGGAGGGGGCGCAATCTCAAATTCGACTGTATTTTCATAATAAGCTACTCTGAAAACATAATAGTCGACCCTGATATCGATTAAATCCGTAAATTTACAAAAAGTCGATGCTGGAGGGTGGGGGGGACGCAATCTCAAATTCGACACTATTTTCATAATAAGCTACCCCGAAAACATTATAGTCGATCCTGATATCGATTAAATCCGTAAATTTACAAAAAGTTGATGCTGGAGGGTGGGGGGAGCGCAATCTCAAATTCGACACTATTTTCATAAAAAGATACCCCGAAAACATGGTGCATATTGATAAATTTCTTGTGTTATTTCTGAAATATTCATTTCTTGATTTTTGCAATAATTTATTTATGAAATAAATAATTCTGAAATAATTTATTTCAGAAATAACTCATTTCGAAATAATTTACTTTATTCCAAAGAATGTCAGAATATTGAAATAATTATTTCAGAAATAAATTCAGCATTTATTCCATCGAGATTAAATTTATTGACGGTTTGAAATATTATTTCAAAAATAACCATTATTCCCGAAATAATTCATTCGTGGAATAACCATGTGAATTATTTCAGAAATAAATTATTTCAAGAGTGTCCAGGTCTAGTCAATACTATTCTTTGAATTTATAATTATTTAATTAATATGTTTTAAAACATTTTTCTTTTAAAATTACTTGGTAAGATGGACCAGTTTTTGATTTCCTCATATTTTAGTCTGCTGCTTGTTTGTAGCATTAATATGATGGTGATTACATGTCATTGACTTAGTACTATTTTCCAATACAAATATTCAACAAAAGAAAGTTTTATATCTTAAATATTTTATCAAATATAAAAAAATATATATTTATACATTTTTTTCTCTTGAATTAAACAGGTTTTTCGCTTAGAAGAAACAACACTAAAGAGTTTGACATTTTTTAAAAATTTAAACACCAGGAAATAAATAATGGCAATAAAAAACATTCAGTTATAACAGTGGTTGTTTTGCATCTAGTCCTTCTATTGTATAAAAAAACAATAGCAAAGACAAGGTTCTCTGTTCTAACAGTCACTAAAGAATATTCAGTTCTTTAGAATGGAAGTGCTGTTTTAACTCTTAATTTAAGTATTTTTTGTATATAAAGTTAAACTAATAAAGTTTTGTATGGTTTGATTACAATTGATCTTTGAAAATAATACCAAGTTTACTTATGTTATTAATATCTAGTTTATTCACTTTTTTTTTTTTTTTTAATGCATGCTCCAAAGGGATGAATGGAAACTTTCATGGTGAGGAATGGATTATTACATAACTATTTAAAACAATTTGTTTTGTTTTTTCTTGAATGGTATTAAAATAATTTTGTTATTAATATTACTACAGTTCCTGGTCCGGACGTTAAGCGTTCGACTGATTATGTATCTGGGTTGTTCCGGATGGATTTCGCACCCAGATCTAGATCTTCCTTAGCAACCTCGCAAACTACTACTAGTATTACCACTAATACCACATCAGCAACTAACACAACACCTGTTAGCCAGAATAATGCAACACAACAAACATCAACCATCAAGTTAGGGTAAGTTAAAATTGAAGTTAAGAAAGAAAAGAAGTCTTAAGTCTGAATCGCAGTTAATTTATATATTTATTATCATTCTCTAATCCTAGAAATCTTATCTAATAAATCTTATTTAATATATAAATAAATGCCAAAAATCATGTTAAGTTTTCTATTAATGTGCTTTCTTCATAGCTACTATTTGAAATAAATGCTAATTGAAGATTTCCCTTCTAATTATCATGCTTACAAGTAGTTAAAACATGGTGAAAATATATTATATATTTATATTGCTGAACATACGGAAGGTAAAGACCACTACAATCAGTTTATACTACAAGTTTCTACGACTTTATTTGTTAATTTTACAAGATCCAAAGAATAAATTTTTGAAAATACACAATAATTAATACATTACTAAATAAATTAAATATAATCCTGTTATAAGGATTGCAAAGTGTTTTTACCAATTTTGATCAAGAAAATTGGTACGTGGTTAACATTAGTTAGCTTTACCCAACAATTTTAAAACAAGGTTCAGAAATTCTTCTGGTATTGATGACAATTCATGATTGTTTCACTCTAATTCATCTTATAAGTATTCAATGATTTTACATTGTATTCAATACAGCCAAAGATTTATTTCCTTCTTCTCATTTAATTTTAATATAAGTGTGGTGATCTATTTTAGATTTCTTTATTATTGTCTATATAAATTACTTGAACTTTATATATCAATACATTTATGACAAGAGCTGTGAATAATATATTAACTTCATGAATATGTGATGAATTTTCTTGGTTTCCCCTTATAGTTGTACGGAAACCATATGATTATAATCGATATTTGTCATTGTGTTAATTTTGAATAATAAAAATAGTTTTGTGAAATTTAATTCATATCCTTTTTTTTTATATTCAGGAAAGAGAGTGAAAGTCCTTCTCCCAACAACACGTACTTTACAACTCCAGAATGTAAAGCTCGTTTGTTGTCAACCACAAATATCACGCAAATAGATAACACTGCACCCTCATCCATAGGAAGCCTTCAGCAGAAAAAGGTAAGACAAAATCAGTATTTTTTTATGTTTATGAAATACTTTAATGCAGTTTCAATAATATCAGGGGTAAATTATTTCCGTAATTACTAACAAGATTCGCTCAACCTCTGCAGCATGAAGCATTGAAAAAAATTCTATCCTTTATGGAGTTAATTTACACATTTCATTGAGTACAACCCTTCCAATTGTATATACAGCCCATTAATCACACTCAATTTTATTTATATTTAGTAATATAATTGAGTTTAATGATAAAATCAGACCCTTTCTGAAACATACATCTGCAAGCTTTTGTTTTGTGTTTTTTATGTTAAGAAATTGTTTCTGTTACAAAAAGTTTATAAATAAAGTCTAAGTGAAATAAGTTTAAATCACAAAACGGTGAATACAAAAAATTCAGCTTTTTGCTTCTACTTCATCTCAGCTGTTAATAAGGATTCATCTTGTTCTTTTTTAAAATTTTCATTTCATACTTTTTTTATCTATAAAATGAATTACTTTTTCACTGGAATATGAAATAAAAGCAACTGCAAAAAAAAAAAAAAATACTCTTTTTCAGAATACTGTTTATTCTGTATTGTTTATATTAATAATTCATACTGTTTCAGAATTTTTCATTTTATGAATTGCAATGTAAAAATAATTTTTAGATTTGGTCATGTCTATATTTTCTTTATGTTCAATATCTCTATGGTTTTCAAAAAAAAAAATTGTTATATTCCCCTAGAAAAAAAAAGATTTTTATACCCATACAAGGTATCTGAAAGACTTCTGCAAAAAAAAAATTAATGAAATAATGAAAATATTGAATTTTTTCTCAAAGATTACTTATACTTAGAGGCATGTAAAACTTTAAGTAAAAAAATCTATTAGTTGATTATAATCTGAATTAATTAGTGTTTAGTTTGCCACTCGCAGGTCACTGTCTACCTTCTAAAATTGAAAATATGAAGCCATTTTAATGAAATTCCTATAAATGTAACATAGGTCATAAAAGTCATATTCTTTTATTATGTAAAATTGTTTAAAAAAAGAATATCATATTACGAATTGTTTTTCTTTTTTACAGGAGGAATTAATGATGAGACTTTCTCGGAAATTGTTAGTTTTAAAAGCTGAATCTGTTGCTGTAACAGAAGAAACAGCTGTAAATGAGGCCTTGGGCAATGCTGTGTGCGAGAGAGTAGAAAGGGTTGCAAGACCACACGAAGTTTCTAGATTTAAGCTACACGTCAAGGAAGTCGGTCACATCACATCATTACTTTTGTCCCTTTCTGGAAGATTAGCCAGAGCTGAAAATGGGTTACTTGTATTACCACCAGAACATCCAGACAGGGTATGTATTGTTCACTATTTTAAATATTAAAAATTTATACCATATATCAGTAAAATATTTTTTTTATATTCTTACCTCAACAATCATTACCAAAACATATATTTTATTATTAAATGTTTGTACGAAATTAACTTCTATTACCTTAGTGTTAGTTTCTCTAATTATCAATCATAGAGACATCAAACCTCAATTCAAGAAAAATAATTTTATGAGTACAATTTCATAATAGTCAATAAAACTATAATAAATAATAAAAGGCTTAGGGAACCCGAAGGTTTGATGCTGACACCACCAATTGCTTATTACACACCTCCCTCCACCATTCGCCGTCCAAACCCAGTTCTGAGCTAAGTAGTTTTGTCACAGAAAAATAACAAGCATTTTCCACCTTCAGTCTAACCTTACAGCTGATGAACAATACCGTTTTACTCTAATTTTTTCTGTAATATTTGCTGTAAAGAAAATATTTGATCAATAGTCGAACGATTCCCTCTCTAAATCAGCATTGGTAGTCTCCGATAATGTCCTCGGCGTATTCCGTGGTTCTACTAGTAAAGATTAAAGTGAATATTTTATAACATACCGGAAGAAGTGAAATTCCTCGATAGTTATTACAATCCATCCTCGGGCCCTTTTTATGAATAAGAATAGATTCTTTCCATTCTTCAGGTAATTTCTCATTCACCCAGATCTTTTTAACGGGCAGATGTACTTTAGAAACTCCAGCTTCCCCGCATGCCTTAATTAGTTCACTAGGAATATTATCGGTTCCCAATGCTTTATAAGATTTTAATTTTCCGATAGCTACTTCCACTTCCTCTTTACTCTGTTCTTCTTTAACGGTTCAGCACTCTGGTACTCAGAAGGACACAGATCATAATTGTTTGTATTTAAAATAATATCAAAGTAGTTCTTAAACTTATTTAATATGTCAACCGGATCGATCAGAAGATTGTTATTTTCATCCCTAATTCCAGACTTGGTGGGCCCTAAACAGTTACGTGATCTGCTTATACCTTTGTACATGTCTCTTATGTTATTTTCGAACCTATTAGTTTCTATTTCAATTATTTTATTTTTAAGATACTCCCTTTTTTTATTTTTGAGCAATTTTGTCATTTCAATCTTTGAGGTTCAGAAGTATTCCAGATTACCTTCGTTAGGATTATTTAGAGCTTTTAATTTAGTGGCTTTTCTTTTTTTGCACATGTTTAAGCAATTTTCATCAAACCGCGGTTTGTCATTCTTATTTTCCTTTTTTCCTAGTCATGAGTTACCGACCGCTTTAATATTATCCCTGATCTCTACCCATAATTGGTCAATATCCTCGTGATCCTCCTCAGAAAGCTCTAAAGTTTCAAACCTATTCTTAACATATAGCTCGAATTGGGTTCTAATTGATGGATTTTTTAATTTTTCAAATTAAAATTCTCAAAATTGAAATGGTTTTCTTTTCTCTTTTTTATATTAAGTTTTTGTTGAAGTTTCGCGATTACTAATTCATGATCCGACTCACATTCTGCTCCTTTCCTGTACTTTTCTTCCCTCATCGATACCTCCCCTGGCCAGCGAACCTCTTGCAGAGCCATGACATCCAAATTGTAACCATTAACCTTATTCGTGACCGATTTTAACCCCCCTGCTGTTTTTTAACTCCTTACGCTCCATATACCAATATTTAAATCCCCATTTTTCAACTTGTTCCATGAATCCCCTAAAGCAGTCCCCACCCGGAGACCCGAAGGGGGGACTAGTTTACCTCCGGATAATGAGCGTTTTACCTTAGGGAGATCCATGACTATTGTCCATCGGACTTCGCTGGGAGGAACTTCCAGGGAATTTCCACTGACCATCCCCACATCCTTCACCCGTGGGACGCTCCCCATACGCAGTAATGAGCCCGTGCGAGGGAATATAACTATGCATGTCTTAAATATTTTTATGAGCATGACGTGCAATGTGGCTTATGTTGATGACTTAATAAACCAGATTAATTTCCATCTTTTTTTTCTATTTTCTCTCCCTCTCTTTTCTTTTGACAATACTGGGTTTCAATTTTATTATATAAAACAATAAAATTAATTTCTCTTTCACGTTGATTTAATTCGAGGAAGTCTGTCATCATCTTTAGATTGCTAGAGCTCAGTCACTAACTGCCTTCATTTCTATCTTGCTGCCTCTGTGGAATGTTTCCTATAATAATGAGTTTCTACTTTGTTTGCTGTACTCTAAAGTTGTAATAAGCTACACCCAAAATTTTCACACATTAGCAAAGGCTTAGTAATACACTTAGTTGTACTTTTCAGTGGCAGAAAAGAAAAATCATCTTCAACAAGACTGTCGAAAAGGCTAGTACTCCTGGTTAGCTTGGGATCAGACCTCTGCTAGTCCAAAACTCCACAACTGAGACTTTTGAGGTTGACTAGGATCAAGACTATGCAACTTGGCCCAAAAGCCCCCATGCCTCATGGGGGTTAAAGAGATCTAATAGTTAAGTTGAACCGACCTTGCAACCAATTAAGACTAGCCATTGGAGAAATATTTCCTTCGAGTAGCTCTTGGTGATAATGACCCATCCCTTATTTCATTCTTGTACAGTGCATTACCTCAGTTCCTATCTTGACCAGATTTTTCTTCACTAAAAATTAGTAGGCTTTATATAAAATAAGAACAATGGTTTTACAAATGCTTCTTTGACCAGCACATGAATGAATAAAAGCGTATTTGAAATTAGTGAGGGAATATGAGGTTGCTAGAACAGATTGGACACTTATGAGCGACGCGGGCTCTGCAAAACCTCCCTTCTTATCTTATCTTACGTCACCTTTTTATCTTATGATACGTCACCTTCTTATCTTATGTTATGTCACGTAACCTGCCTTTTTATCTAGTGTGAACTGTTGCATGTGCGTTTATTTATTGTGCGTTATTGAAATGGATGTAATTACATTGTGGGAATTGCCGTTTTCACAAGAAGAGGCTATCAAATATTTTCAAGATGCAGGGATAATTGCAAAGGTGAAATATTGTGATGAAGGTCATGAAATGAAGTTCGACGGGAAGATGAAATGGAGATGCTTTTGTAAGAGTTGTAAGAAAAAGGTATGAATAAGGAAAGGGATGTGGTTAGAGTGGGGTCCATACTCAACATATAGAACATTTATGGGGCTCAGCTAAGTGGAGAAATAAGAAATAGCGAGGCAACACCTCGATTCATATTTATGTGAATTTTTGAATTTTTTTAAACTGATTTTTGTGGCGGCTCACTCACAGAGAAGAGGACCCGTTCCTCACTATTTTAAATAGCATTAAGCTATTTTGCCTTCCAAGATAAATAAATGAAAAGAATTATGTATGTTGTAAAATAAAAGTGTTGTTATTTAAAGTGTTGTTGTTATTTATATTTCTTATCATTAAATTACTATATTATTATTATATTTACATTTCTTACTAGCTTTACCCAGCCACGAGCTGCTGTGGCATAGCCTGGCAAAATGGAAAAGAAAGAAAATAGAATGCACATATGAGTGGATCAATACCAAAGCACATCTGTCTTTTTTAAAAAGTTGGGAAACAAATTTGTCTGTAAAATGGCTTCAATTTAAACTAATTCTAATGATTTTTTTCATGATTCAGCTTGAACATTCATTATCATCTGAGTGAATTGTTAAACACCATTTCATATAGGTAGTTAGTTTCTTTCTTTTTTCCAAAGTAATTATCGTTACCCAAAAATTAAATCCAGGATCCGCTAGTGTACAAGAGTCTAATTTCATATGAAGCTAGGGATCATCAGTGCCTTATCATAATTATCAGTGTTCAGGTTATAAACACTGGCAGATAGAGATTATCAGTGCCTTATCACAATTATCAGTGTTTAGGTTATAAACACTGGCAGATAGCAGTCCATAGAGCCTGCTTCCCTCACAAGTACCACAAATTGTAATCCATGTAGTCTTACAAGAATAACATATGGTCATTTTGCTTCTTTATATACCTATTGATCCTTCAAGGAGACATTACAGGAATGATTTATCTTGTGTTTATAAGATGGCACTAATTCGCATGGATTTTAGCTGTATCATATGCAAATTTAAGTATAGGCATAAATATACAATTATAAGGTACAGTGATCACCAAAGTTGGCCAACCAAACAACCAAGATTTATTGCCTTGATAACTCCTTCCTCTGTAAAACCTAGTCAAGACCAGGTAAGAATGTCTTCCCATCCATGTTTTGGATGGTCTTCTTTGGTCACACCTTGGTCTTCAGTTTCTCGTTAGTGGTCTTTTTAGTGATTCCTCTATTTTTCAGTCCATTATATATCCATTATTGAATTGTTGTTATACTATTATATTTACTAAACATTTTATTTTAAATTATTTCCTTAGTCCATTAAAAAAAAAAAAAGATCAATTTTATTTGTTTAACAAATATATTTCTCAATATATATTTTTTCCATTTCCTTTCCAGAAAGCATTAGAAGAAAAGCGAGATAAATTGTTAGCTCAGTTGAACGAAGCAAAGCAGTTGAAGAGTAATATCGACCAGCGAAGTGGAAGTGTCTCATCAATGCTGTATAACTACCTTACTGGTGAAGAATATACGGATTATGATCATTTCATCAATATGAAATCAAAGTTACTTGTCGATTCAAGGGAAATTGCTGAAAAAATTCAACTGGGTGAAGAGCAGCTGGCTGCTTTAAAGGAAACATTGGATCAAGTGAGATAGTTGATCGCTACTTCTCAAGTCATTTGTTTCAGCATGAATTTCTTTTAAATATTTGTTCGTTCCAGTTTGACTGATGACTTTATATTATTTTCACCTTTTCTTGTTAGAAATTGTTAATTGTTAACTTGATTATAAATATAAAAATTATTTGTGTAGTTAAATGAGTGAATAATGATGAATTCGCAAAACCCTGTCACTAGTCGACACTATATTTTGTTTAATTTGCCATTAATGTATTGTAATAAATGTGTTGTAAATAATAAATTTTATGTTCCCTGTCAATATTATGTAATAAAGATGTGTAAAACCACTCCCTTAAAAGGGAATCGGTGAACTGCCTTCTAAAAGGTCTCATAAACAATTTGATGAATACTTAGATTTTATTATTTTATCATTAATAATTGTTTAACTGCCTCTTAACTAGTTTTGTATTAGTAATTAATATTTAACAAGTCCCATAATATTGTCCACATATTTTAAGAACTGAAATATCAATGTATGTATATAGAAATTACGGAGAAATTGTCCTTTATGAATATGTTCTATTGTATTAACATCTAAGATTCTCATAAATTATTGATCTTTTACATAAAATAAATATTCCTTCACGATGAGTCGATTCTCGATTCTCAGGTGAAGTTTTAATTTCTTTTAATAGAAATTAACCTCTTCCATTTGGCACTGGTGCAAAAAAAAAAAAAGAGTCAAATGTCAAAGATGGTATTTAAAGTTTTACCTAGTGTCTTTTTAATAAAAAAAATGTTGCTTTAAAACAATTTTCTCCTGAAAAGCTTAAAGAAAAAAAAAATCTTAGGTTTCAAAACCTAGTTTAATGTGATAGGTCCATTTGGTGATTTCATTGGAACCATTATGGTTAATAAATTTTAATGAATGTGTATGAAATATCTTTGTCTATTAGTTTTTGTTTTGTTTTTAAATTGTAAGTAGTGCGTTGCAATATATATATATATATATATATATATATATATATATATATAAAATTAATTACAAAATGTAATTATACGAATTGTATGTTAATATGTAAATAAATTTAGCATTTTGGTGCTACAACATTAAATATTTCTTATATATGTTTTTGTTATTTTATTTTAACCTCTCCCTTTAAAGGCTCAGGAGCAAAGAAAATTATTTTTAATCTTTTGATGACTCATTACAATATATGACAAGATTGCCAACGCACCGTGGATAGAAATCGCAGATCACAAGTACAATCTGTATGCCTGCGACTTTAGGTATTTAATTCAAATTAAATGATGTTTCTTATGATCAAATACAAACTTAATCAAGGAGTTGAAATTTATCAATCAACTTGGAATTTAAATAACTAAGGAAAAAGAAAGTTTATATCTTATATGTTGGTTTAGCAAATAACTTTTCCTTTTTATCAAAACAAAACTAATTTTAAATTATAGAATAGTTTTAAGTTTATATTGACTTAATAATCTATAATCATCATCAGACTACCACTAATTCAGGCCCATCCAAAACTCCCTCAACGAAAAATCGATTGCGGATGAGTGAGAAATGAAAACTTACCTCATTCCGTTTTTCGCTTCTAAGAGCCAGATGTTTTACTAGAACAGATTAATGAAATTATTAGAAGGATGGCAAGAGGTCATTAATAAAAACGGCGAATACATTATTGAATTTATTCTTTGTATACAAAAAACGGGTTTATTTCACCCTTCAAAAACCAAATAGACTTATGGATCCACCCAATAAAATATTCAATGATTAGAGAAAAGGTGTTAAATTTTGTACAATTCACAAGAAGAGAGACATCTTAAAATGTGGCAATTATCATATTATTACTCTTCTACAATGCGTATATGAAGTTTTTTTGTTATCCAAAATATACTGTGTTCCTTAAAATCTGCATAAATAACATGTTAGTGTTTTTCATTTGGATCCCTGGGCCCTGCGGGATTAAGGACAGATAATGTAATGAGTAGGCAGACCAGGCAGCCAAAAAAGTGGTAACTGATGGGATTCCTTATGAGAGGTTTTCATTGCCATCATTAAAAAATACAAAAACATGTTTGAACAGAATGCCGAGCTTACGAACCACTTACAATATCTTATGACTTACCAAACGACCTACAGACCATTATACAAGACAATACAAGAGTTGTTGACAAACTTTTTTGTTTTCTGAAACTTGCAAAACTGGATAATAAAATTTAATACTTAATGAAATAAGATGATAATGACTCGAGTGGTTGACACCTTCAAAATAAATTTTAAAAAAAGTTTTTTTTTCACCATTCACTGTTTTTTTCATAAAACTCCTACTACTTGCTGAGTGAGAAACTGACAAGTATCAGTCAGGATTTAGAAGGAGTAAATTGAAGGTGGATTAACTATTCGGGCTGTGCATGATTCTGGAAAAAGTATGTAATATAAAATGGTCATTCACCACCTTTTTACAGATTTTCAAAATTCATATTACCATTAAGAGGCTAAAACTTAATGAGGCCTTACACAATTTAGGGATCCCAATCAAATTAAAATGAGTGTGTTAGGTTTTTAGTCCGGTGGCAACTGGATTTATATTCCTGAATTCATGATAATGAGAGGATTGCACTAGCTTGCTTACTCTTTAATGTTACCATAGAGAGGATAATTAGAAGAGCTTAAATAGAAACTACCAGTATCGTTCATATATGGGAGGATGGTACTGATTTAGAGACAGTAGTTTGATGTTGATCTCCTCCTTAAAAGATATTTTTCTTAGATTAATGTGAAAAGCTGCAGGTCTAGGGTTTATTATAAATTGAGAAAAACTAAGTATGTCTTCATGAGAGCTGGTCCGGAAATGGATATTTCAAATACTTAAAATTCAAGTAACCAATCCAACTTGGACCACTCACCTTTGAAAATGCAGGCCATTTTATTTATATGAGCTCAATAGTTAGGTATACAATGTCGCTTGAGCCTGGCAAACAAATATGTAATGTCAATGGCTATTATTTTGAACTAATAAAGTTTCTTGGAAGTAAAGTCTCTTCAGACACATCTTTGTAAAACTCTCATATGCCATTCAGTACTATAATCTGTGTTTCAGAGACATGAATAATTTAGAAGAGAAAAGGATTATCTTTTAAAGCATATATTAGGAACCATTATGAATAAAGGGAACAGTGCAATAACAGGGAGATAAATGAGTTCTTAAGGATAGTGAAAGCTAGCACTGGCATTAGGGTGGAGCAACCGGGGAAGGCAATTGCCCCGGGGCGCCATCTGATCTTCATGGGCGTTTGCCACTTGTTAGAAATCAAAAAAATACTAAACGTAATAAAATAACTAATTTTAGCCTATCAATAAAGCAAATGTATAAGAGAAATGTTGAATAAAATAAAATTTAAGTATTACATAAATAAAACAGCTTAAGAAATAATTTTTTTTTTTTTGTGGGAGGGTGAGATGACGTCAATGCACGGCGCTTAATCTCTAAGGCCAGCATTGGTGAAAATCATATGATTTATTTAGTACAATCAATCAGTCATCAGATGGGTAGGCCATGAAACAAGGATGAATGAGGAAGAAAGCCCTAAGAAACGACAAGTTGAGAAACTGGATTGGTTGAGAGGAAGAGTATAGCCAAGAATAAGAAGAGAAGATCCTTTCACCAGAAATATCTAAAGTCTTTTAAACACAAGTAATTGGAGGGCAACTGCACAAGACTATACCTCCAAGCAAAGGCTCATTGAGAAGCCCAAAGTTGACATTCGACTGATTTACTGTGCCATTAAAACCACCACTGTTGAAAAATATGACCAATTTTTTTTTTAAAATAGACTTATTAACATATCAGAATATATATTATAATATCCTGACATTATACTATAACTTGAAAGATTAGAGTTATAATATTTCTAAATAAAGTGGTACAAATATCACAAATAAAATTCTGTAACAGCAATGAAACTACTATTCAATTGCATCCTAATTTATTTATATAGTTGTCCTATCAAACAAAATTTCAGTTTTGTTACAAAAAAAAAAATCAATAACTATTTCACATCCCTTATTAATTAGAACATAGGAATTCAAAATAAAATAAAATCTTATGAGGACATTTTACACTTTAGTTATAAAAAGATATTAAAGTAATGATGCAAAGCTCTATAGAATTGATTGAATATCTGTAATAGAAAAGGTGAATATAAATATTACAGAACAGAATAAATTATATAAATTAAGACTTATATAAATTAACAGAGCATTTAAAAAATAACCATACATTGGGTAAGAATACATAAATAATCATAGTAAGTCTACCAACTGCTTTCTGCAGTAGCTGATAACAAGCCTTTCATTTTCTTTTTTCTTTTTTTTTTTTAGCCTTCCCTTCCTATATTCCTATATACACTGACAGGCAAAAAATTCCAACATCTTGATTTTTTTTCATGTTTTCGTCTAAAAATATTTCTGCTTTGGATTGATCTATTGTTTTTAATGAATAAATAGGTAATCTTTTTGTTTGTTTCAATTAGGAATGTTAATATAGAGGACAATAACCCTTAATCCTTAATTCAATGAAATGATTCTAGATTCCAATGTTTACTTTCTATGGAATCAAAATGTTTATTCAGTATCATTAGTTCAGTGCCATTTCTTGCAGCACATTTCTTAGTCTCCGGCTTTTAATTATTTCAATATTAAGTTTAAAAATGCCTCTTAGTGCTGAGGATGTTGCGCATGGTGTTGCACTTATTGATGATGGACGTTCCATTAAATATGCAGCTAATGCCATCGGAGTTCCATATGAAACTTTAAGAGACGCCGTCAGGCGTTTTTGGGAAACTGGTTCTTACAATAGAAGGCACGGTTCTGGACGGCCTAGGGTAAAAGTACCACGGGATGACCGGTTTTCGACTTAGAGAATTTAACGAAACCGGCACCTTACCGTTGTTCAAGCGATTCATCAGCTTGAAGAAGTTCAAGGTGTACAAATTTCTGAACGTACCGCTCGGAGAAGATTAAATGAGTATGGATTAATGGCTTTTCATCCAGTAAGAGGACCAGAGTTGTCCAGAACTCACAGAGTAACACGGCTGGCTTTTGCTTGAGAACACAGCCATTGTACTATGGACGAATGGAGTGCTGTACTTTTTACAGATGAGTCAAGATTCGCTCTTCGATCTCCAGACGGGCGTGAAAGGGTGTGGAGAAGAAGAAACGAAAGATATGCAGCCTGTAATTTGAGCCAACCTTTCCAACGTGGTTCCTTAATGGTGTGGGCTGGGACTTCTATCCTCAACGAAATCAGCGATCGTTCTATTCTAATGCACGCCCACATGTCGCCCGCATAGTGCAGACGTTCCGTCAACAGAACAATATTGAGGTTTTAGCCTGGCCAGCACGTTCTCCAGATTTGAACCCCATTGAGCATTTATGGGATAACCTCGGAAGATGAATAAGAGCGTGTGCTCCACACCTGATACACTGCAGAACCTTGAAAGGGCTCTTCGGGAGGAATGGGCTATCCTCCAGCAAAGGGACAGTTCCCGACTGGTGGAAAGTATGCCGAGGCGTCTTCAAGAAGTAGTGAAGGCAAGAGGAGGAAACACGCGCTACTAAACGATAATGTAATTAATTTCATTTAGAATAATAATTGTTCGTTTTTCAATTTTTTTCTCTAATCTTTCTTACCCAATCACATTTTGATTATTAAAGGTAAAAAAGATTATAAAATTCCATAAATACTAAGTATTATCTACAAATACCATGTATTATATACAAATACAACTTTACAGAAATATTTTTAGATGAAAACATGGAAAAATCAAGTGGGTGGAATTTTTTGCCTGTCAGTGTATATATAATGCCCTTTCTCAATATAAATATAGACTATAAACAGACACAGATATGTTTATACTCATACTATTAAAACTATGTAATCCTTAATATAATGCATACTTCTATTATGATTAATATTGTTATTTTTAAAATACTGTATAATATATTGTCCTACGTATGTTTTCAATCTATTACAATTGTCTGTATTATAAATATTATTTGGCTAATCATTGTACACCTTTAATCAAACTATGTATATTTATATTGATTGGCACCTCTTGCTTATGTTCATTTCATTACTAGCCAATATTCACAATTTTTTTAACCATAAGAAACTACACCAATCTTGTATACATCTAAAATATTTAGTCAGCAAATTATATAAATTCTACGAACAGAAATGTTACCTTCTTCCCCCTGTGACTATGTTTACCTACCTTTTGCTATCTGAAAAAGGACAACTGGGAAATCCTCCCCCAATCTTTCCACTTACCTATCAAATGTGTTAGTACTTGAAAACATTCAGTGCTTGAACGTAAAAAAAGTACAAAAAACATTAAAAAAAGTAAGAGAAAATTTTACAAATTTTTATAAATAGATTATATATATTATTTTTAGTTTGTATAACTTTTTACATATTTCATTTTTAGTATTGTGTTTTGTAATAATAGTTAAGATTCATGTACCATCAAATCACTATAGTTTATTATTTACCATTATTGGTCGTATAATATTATATCTCTGATTGTATTTTAAAATTTTCAGCCCTGAAGATGACCCACATGTTTGGGTTGAAACATTGCCACAAATAAAAAATAATTTTTTTTTTTTAAAAGACTGTCCTGAATGTTTATCACCCATGATATGTAGAACAGTTGACTAGCTCCCTTCAATTGGTTACCTGACCTTAGTCCGCTACTCCAGCCCCTATATATATATGCGTGTGTGTATTTTCAAACCTCTCTTTGTATATAGATAAGAGAGATTAAAGCTGTTATTTGGTTCTCAAGTTGTATATGGTTCAAATAGACTAATGGAGTTACAATAATTATAATGTTAACATCGACATACGTGTGGTTTACGTTATCTTGATGGTCTTAATGAGTTTTGGTATTGATAAACATGACAGATAATCACAAATGTGTTCTTTGGTCTAGTTCCATTAGATATGCACTCAAGAGACTTTTTGCAACATCCCAATTTTTCCAAAAATGAATTTCTAACCAAAGCATAGAGGTAAGTAAAGGTTGTGTGGATTCTTTTAGGATTCTATGTATTTCATTGATACAATCTCGTATCATGACATTTGTGATTTAGTAAAAAATAAAAATCTACTCATTTTACATTGGCATGGAAAATTTTCATTAACATTCATGACTACTGAGTAAAAGAATTACAGTAGCCTTATATTTAACGAAACCTATTCCAGAACTTGAAAATGCTGACAACATTAATGTACAGCCTAGGAGTTAATTTAAATTTGGATCAGTAAAAAACTGTTGTTTAGATACATATTGTTAAAGTTATATTTTCTAAAATATAAACGTTAATTTCAGAAACAAGCATCATTGTTATTGAATGGACTTGTTATAAACGTATCTTATAGTGGAAAATAAAATACTTTTCATAATCCATTCCTTGAAGAAATCAGTTCAGAACATTTCATACAAGGAATTGAGAAAGAACGAAAAAAAACTGTTAATGCCCCTCAATTTAGAATCTGAAAAACAATATCTACTGTGCGTTTTTTGGGTGAAATCAATTTATCTTATCTTTTCTATTTTATTAAACTTGCTAAAAATGTAAAACATGACATAAAAAAATATGGATGATTAATACTTTAAATTTATATCTTCTAGTACTTCACTATAATATAGTTTTTACATTTTCCCCAAAATCGTGGAAATGTCATATTTATTGTTTCTGCAATAACTGATCCAATAGAACCCTCCGTTTAAATAATAAAATCATTCATTAATTTCAGCCATTGAAAACAAATTAGCAGAGAAGAAAATTGATGTGAATCATTTATACCAGAAGAAGTTAGAGAATGGTTTCCTGCAGTAAATAGATTAATACAAAGTTGAAATATTTTAGAATTTGTCTAAATAAAACTTATTCCACTTGACAAAGTGATCAAGCAATTATAACTTTTAAAGGAGTTCAAAAGTGTAGTTATAATGAAAATTAATGAAATGAACACAATGATCAGACATATACAAACATTACCTTTATTATATATTGTTTGTACACATATATAGCAGTCAGTCACTGTCACTCGCCTTTTTTTTTATGTTTCTTCTTTTTAAGTTTTTTCAATTTTTTCTTCTTTCGTGAATCTTCATCACTGGATTCAGAACTTAATTGATGCTTCCTTTTATTTTTTTTCTTCTTTTCTTTCTCTTTTTGGGATTCGGAGTCAGAACTACTGTCTTCAGACGAATGTTGTGACTTCTTCTTTTTCTTCTTCCTTTTCTTTATCTTCTTAACTTTTTCTAGTAATTCTTGTTCTCTCAAAGCTCTAAGAGGTGTAACATAATCATCATCACTTTCCGAACTTGTACTACTAACATCCAATACAATATCTTTATTTGGATCTATTTTAATGAAATTTCTGCACTGATATGTCAGATGCCCAGAATAACCACACTTTTTGCAGGCAGGTCGAATACTTTCTTTACCTTGTGGCACCAGTCGAGCTAAAATTTCAGACTCCATTGTCACTCAAATAATGTTATAAAGGATTAAATAATTTAATCTCGCTCTCACTAAACATTAACTATAATTTCAATATCCAAGTTCGAAAGAAATTTTGTAGAAAAGCAACTACAAACTTATGTTTATAACCTACATAATTCATAACAACACTTGTCAGTGTTGCCATCATAACATATATAAAGTATTTTTGCATGAAAAAGTATAAATAAGCTACCATGTTTATCGAACAAATAATTGCTAGTCATTTAGCAGTACACAGATACAAATTTTAAAAATCATTCAATTTTAGAAAGGGAGGAGTGTGTATAATTGTATAGAGTGGAAGATATATACCCTACGTATTTGAAACACTTTCCCAATTATCAATTTTACAAGTATTGAGTTGAAATTAGGCGCAATTTTTAACAGTAACAAAGGGAAATTCTTATAAACTCAATCCCAATAACCTTGTTCCTCTATTATTCCCGAACCTATATCCATTCACGTACCAAGATGGAGAGATGATCAGAATAGACTATACTAAGAGCAGTACTTACTGAGGTGGCTCAAAAATATGTTTCTTTTTTTAATGAATAAGTCCATTGTGATATTATTAAAATAAAACATTTTTTATTTGCATGTTCTTCAAAATATACATCCACACTGGATTCCACTTACTAAAGGAGGCTTACGACATGGGATTTATAAAACAAATTGGATGACAACTTCATTTATTCATTGCTGTGCTCAACAGTCTTTGAAGAACCATGGGTACTGCTAATTTCTTCTTTCACTTATCTCTGTTAGCTGCGAAAAGTTTCCATCCCTTAATGCCTATTTCCTTCAGGTTGACTTCCATATCGTCCACACATCTGAGCCTCGTCTTTCCGCGCCTTCTTCCATCCCCGATTTTTCATAGAGTAGTTTTCTTGGCATTCTTGTCGGGTCCATCCTCTCCACATACCCCAACCATCTCAGTATATTGAATTAAACGACTCTCGCAATATCTTGTTCACCATATATTTGTAGATCAAAGCTGATTCTCTACCGTTGCTCCATTTTTATTCTCCTATACATTTTTTTGGAATACTTTTCTTTCCTTTACGTGAAGCATCATTTTGCTTTTTTCGGCCAAGGACCATGTCACGCTTCTATATATCACAACCCTGGTCTAATAATGGTTCTATATATTATATTCTTTCGGTATAGTCTCTCTGGACAAACTTTTGCATTTCAGCAGTATCTGTGCAAACATCGATTTCCTACTGTTATGCGGGCTTTTATATCTCTTTCTACTTGGATTTTGCAAGTGGTAGTGCTACCTAGGTACGTGAATTCACCACAGCTCTTGAACTTCTCATTCATTATTCTCATTTCCTCTCCTGTTCTTGAGGTTCAAATGTACATACTCTTCTCCGTATTAATTTACAAAATTAGTTCTTCACCATTTCTGAGGAATTCTTCAAGAGCGCTACAAGTTCTGGTAAAGTCCATGCTGTTATGAGCTATGCGCCTGCATTAGCTCTAGTTATCCGATTGTAAATTGTACCCTACCATTTGTTTTTATTTCCCTTATGGCTGCTTCCAATACCAGATTAAAAAACACCGTAGATAGTGGATCTCCTTGTCTAAGGCCTCTTTCTGGTTTTAGATTTTCGTGAGAACCTCTCATTGAAAAGCACTTTATTGGATGTACCAGCCAGTGCCATTCTGACCAGCCTTGTTAACTTATTTGGAATTACGACATTCTTCAGACGCTCAAACATTTTTTATCTTACCATTGATTCTTATGCTTAATTGAAGTTCAAAAATAAAGAAAACTTCATTACAAAAGCAAAAAAGGAAATAAAATACTTGAAACATTTTTGGCGGTTGTCTACTTTAAACAAACCAGTGACGCTATCTTTTTCTTTTTCGGCTCTTTAACACGGTGTCCCGTTAAGATACAATTTTGAATAATAGCACATTACAAAGAGGATAAAATGTTGAACATTTCTCTTACTTACAGTATGCAGGGCTATTTGTAGTTTCTGAGATATTTTAATCCATATCCAGAATAAAACTCGTTACCAGTTGATTTTCAACACTATTTTTCCTTTTTCGCCTCTCTATCACGGCAATTCGTTAAGATACAATTTTGAAGAATAGTCCATTTCAAAGAATATAAAATGCTAAACATTTACCTCGCTTGCAGCATGCAGGTCGGATTTCTAGTTTCTGTGATATTTTAATCCTTATGTTCAACCAAATTCGTTCTCTTTTTTCCTTTTTTGTCTCTCTAGCACGGATTCACGTTAAGATACAATTTTGAATAATAGATCACAAAAAAGAAGATAAAATTCTGAACATTTCTCTTACTGCAGGCACTAGCGGATATAGCCGGGGGGCGTGCGCTCCCCACTGGAAGCTGGAAAAAAATTTCAAAAAAGTTACAAAAAAAATTATTCAAAGAAAAAAGAAATGTAGGAAGAATTCATCCTGTTAGGCGAATTTTCTAATGTTATATAAAAAAAAAGTTATTATAGTGACCAACTCTAGCGAATTCTTCCAGGAGGCGCACCCTCCTTTGGATAGAGGGAAAAAGTTCCTAAAAGCATCTATCTAAAGAAAAGAGAAATATAGAGAAGATTTATCCTCTTAGGTGAATTTCCTAATGTAATAGAAAAAAAAAATTATCGTGACCAGCACTTGCGAATTCTGCCAGGGGGCGCGCCCTCTCTTGGATGGTGCAAAAACAATCCGAAAAAATGTTACAAAAACACTTATTCAAACACGAATTCTGCCAGTGGACTTCTCATGGACGGTGGAAAAAAAAAAGGTCCAAAAACACCTCTATAGGAAAAGAGCAATATAGGAAAAAATCATCATCTAAGACGAATTTTCTAATGTGATATAAAAAAAAAATTATCTTGACCAGCACTAGTGAATTCTGCCAGGGGGCGCACCCTCCCTTGGATGGAGGAAAAAAGTTCCGAAAACACCTATTTAAAGAAAAAAGAAATATAGGGAGAATTCATCCTCTTAGGCGAATTTCTTAATGTAATATAAAAAAAAAGTTATTATACTGACCAGCTCTAGCGAATTCTGCCAGGGGCGCGCTATCCTTTGGAAGGAGGAAAAAAGTTCCTAAAAGCAGCTATTTAATGAAAAGAGAAATATAGGGAAAATTCATCCTCTTAGGCAAATTTCCTAATGTAATAGAAAAAAAAAAATTATTATCATGACCATTTTTATTAGTCCTACGATTTGTCACAATACGTCACCTCACCAGGCTGTGGTAACGAGATGTTTTGAAACCAAGAATAGAATGTAAGAGCAAATGTTGGCTTGTAGGTTGAAATGATGCAGTTTTTGGGCCACGTGGAAATGCGAAGGCTTGTGCTCCAGTCGTAGTTTGTTCCTACTGACTCCGAACTGAATCTCGTAGGTGGAATACATGATGGAGGAAAATTAATTAACAAAAAAAAACTTTATTTATTCTTTCTAACAAGCTTTTATTTGAGAACAAGAAAATACAGTTTTTCTCTTGTACCCAGCTTTTATTAAGTTCCAATAGATCTGGACGCATTGCAACCTACAGCAACTATTGCTTCCTTGATGAATCCATGGGATTCATAAAACTGGTCACGATAATAATTTGTAAATTTCTCATTAGAAAGTGTTGTTCTTTTCTTAAAATAGGCGCTGTTGCCAACATTTTCATGAAGGAAGGTACTAATTATTTGGTCTCCAATTTTACCGGAATCTGACTATGATTCAAATCGGAAATTATTCTGAGTTTTTTTTTTAGAGAACTCATTGTCAAGCTGCAGGGCCATTTATAATAATCTGTCTCAGCATTTGATAAAAATGGTAAAAATTAGCGTTGATTGACCATAGTTATCAACCTTATTATTTAATCAAATTATTAATTTTAGGTTCGACTCGTTGGACGAACAATTTGACGTTCATGGATTTCTTAAAGAATGCCTTTTTTACTTTGATACATGTTTAGTTGTAATAAATGAAAAACGAAATCAGAAAAATCTGGATTTTATGGCTGTAAATAGTTTTCTCTCGGTGACCGGTGTTAGCATTTTTTTTTATGTATCTAAATCCATATAGAGGGTGTTCCGTAAGTAGATATAAATATTTAAAGGAGTGGTAACAGAACTCAAGAAACACAAAAAAGTTTATACAAACAAAGGTTCGATTTTCTGCAGGAAAGTAGGAAATTAAGTTTTGTGACTTTTTAAGTAAGTCTCGTTTATTGATGAATAGATAGGTGGGGGAAGGTAAGCCCCTCCTCAGAAAATTCCTGAATCCGCCACTGACTGCAGTTCCGATTATTAGTTTCTGAAATTAATTAATTAAAATGAAAAAAAAAACTTCAAAAGTTCACTGGTGTGCTTAAAGTAGAAAATTGTATATAAGATATAGGATAATGAGCCGAAAATGTCTTCCCCAATAACATGAACTCCATAGAAGGAAAATCATTTCCGAGAGTAGAAAAACTCAAATATCTCGCCTCTACAATAACCTCAATGAATGGCCAACGGGCAGAAATTGATCAGCCTATAACTAGCGCAAACTGAGCTTTCCCACTTCCCTTTCAAGTGTATCGAAATCCCGAATAATCTCAAAATATCTTAAATTAAAAGTGTACAGTGCTATGATAAAGCCAGTGTTAATATATGGCTGGGAACCAGCGTCCCAAAAAAAGTATTCATATTGTTGTCCTGACTTTTCAGCGGGATGTGCCTGTTTTTCACACCTGAAATTATAGTAAGGGTTCCAGTTTTTAAATTATGATAGTATTATGATATGAAGTTCCCTTTCATTTGATACATTATCCTTCAAAATCCATTTCTGCCGAGAGCCGGAAAAGGGAATATACTACTAATATATATTATATATATATATACATGCGTAGATTGCATTGGAGATTTATTGGTGTAGCACAGGTTTTTGAATGTGTATTTCATGAGGGCTTGTTTCTCCATTCAAAAACCAAAAATGGAACATCTCGCAGACTCTACTCCATATACCGTCTGGATTTGGAATGTTCTCGTTGCATTTCCACCACCTTGGATTGTTTCGATGTTGATGTATACCCGTTTTTCAAGGACAAAGTACATAAACAGCTTGTTGCATTTTCAAGCAATCTTACCATAGAAGTCCACGAGACCCGTCAACTGACTAAAGTGGTCAAGTTCCATTTTGAAATTCTTTACAGCCATTTTACTCTTGAAGTGCTATAATCTAAAAGACAAAATGGAATCTATTTTCATTTTAAAATTAAAGAGATGTTATTTACTAATATATTTTTAAGAATATTTTAATTTGGAAAATATTTCAAGTAACATTTTTTACGTTTACATACATAAACATTTTATCTGGCTATAAACTTTTTTTTTTCGTCGTAGTCCCAAGACTTCCATTGAAGTTTGTTCCTATTGTTTATTACAAAAGAATGGAGGTATGGATGTAAATTATTATTATTTATTTATTTTTTTATTTTAATGAAATTTACAACTGTATTACATGGAAAATATAACAAGTAAATGTGACATTGGTAACATGACATGTACAACATGAAGAGAAACTACCCATTGGTAGAATTCAAATTAAAGTTCTATATTAGAAGGTCCAGAGGCCATCTTCTTTTCAGATGCCTCGGAGGGTTATCAGAGATCGAGGAGGAATCAAGGTTTGAAACGACAGGATTCGGATGGTTCTGCAGTTTGTTATGGAAGGATAGGTATCTGGATCGGGCCAAATTGGAAACATATGGAACATTAAGATCTTATTTATTTCTAAAAAACTATTTTAGATTCTTCCATAATTTTGAATGACTGAATGGTATCCTAAATCTGCTAACCCTTTGAGAAAAGCGCTATTTTTTTTTATTGATTAGGAGATATTTATTCTGGTATTAATAATATTTGCTGCATTTTAGTATAATGTGCAGTGGAGTCCTCGACGGAGTTTCATGTCGAACATTTATCATTTTTTTTTTCAACTTTAATTAGTGTGAGTTCTGCGCATGCGCCTGATTTGAATACCCACATTTCACGTCGTGTCCCACAGTTTTACTATTTTTTAGTAGAATAAGTGCTCAGTTTTACTTTTTTTAAAAAAAACTAGTTAAGCAGACATCAAAACAACAACAACAATGAACTAACACCACAGTGAGTAGTGTTGTTATTTACTGTGTACTATTACAGACAGTGAATTTAGTGATTTAGCGTCTATAGGCTTAATCTCTATAGCCATAACAGCTGACGGCTCCCCTCTCCAGTTGTGGCTGAGCCACGTAACTGGCTGGTTCTCAGCCGGTGGTTCATCCATTGTAATAACACGCAGACGTAGTTTTATTTATTTATTTATTTTTTTTCCCTTTCTTTTTTTTTATATGCGATATTACCACCAAGTAATGTCAACTAAGAGGTCCCATTCAGTTGGCTCTACCCCACGTAATTCACCGCCTAAACAGAAAACACGTCGTAGTAAGCGATTAACACCCCCCGGAACTCCTCCAGCGAACACTCAAGAATCTGTGTCTCAACCACTGCCAAGTACGTCTTCACAAGAAATGGAATCTCCATTTTTTACACCTAATCCATACCAGGTGCTTGAAAATGACAGGGAAGAAATGGAAGATGCACCTATACCTCGAGAACCACGCCCACCTCCTATCTTTGTCAAAAATTTGAGAAATTTTCAATTGTTGTGTACTCAACTTAATAAAATCTGCCCAGGTAGCTATACATGCCTAAACAGAATAAATGATACAAAAATAATACCGGCCACACCTGAAGCGTACCGAAAAATCGTAAAATATTTAACAGACACAAATGCGGACTTTCACACATACCAGTTGAAACAGGAAAGAGCACTACGAGTTTTAATAAGAAATTTACACTCCTCAACCCCAATAGAAGTGATTACAGAAGAGTTAACGGCGTTAGGGTTCAAAATACGTCAGATAACCAATGTTTTAAAAGAAAATAAACAACAACCAGGTGTAAAGAATAAAATCCCATTGCCCTTATTTTTCGTCGATCTAGAGCCATCGCCTGGGATCGAAAAAATATACGATGTGAATAGAATTTTCTACACCAGCGTAAAGGTCGAAAAACCGTACCCAAAAAGAGAGTTCATCCAGTGCCATAATTGCCAAGCATATGGCCACACCAAGTCTTATTGCCACTACTTACCACGCTGCGTGAAATGTGGTAAAACACACAAGTCTGGCGAGTGTAATAAACCAATTACAGAACCAGCAGTCTGTGCCCTATGCCTGGAAGGCCATCCAGCCAACTACAAAGGCTGCCAAATTTATAAAAATCTTAAAGCGAGATATATGAAACCCAGGGACCCTGATGATACACCTAAACCAAGAAGAGGACCCGCTAAAATTGTGAACTCTAAGGTTTCTTTTGCCAAGCTACTTGGGGGTAGAGACCTGACTAATGTATGTGAGGCCCTGCCGCAAGAACAAACTCAACCCCAATCTCAATATCCTATCCCACCTAATGTACCTAATCAACAACAACCTCACCAACATCAAATCCAATATGTTCCTCCACCGCCTAATGCTACAGATCTAACCAGCTTATTGACATCCTTTCTTTCAGAATTTAAATCCCTTGTTACCCCACTGATATCACTTCTCACTAACCTAGTATCTCACCTTATCCCTCCTTTAAAAAATCCTTAAATGACTTCCATCAAACCCATATCCATTCTCCTTTGGAATGCGAATGGTGTTAGAAATCACATACACGAACTAACAGCCTTACTACAAGACAAGAACGTAGACGTAGCCTTAATAACGGAAACTCGACTGACTAAAAAACAGCTCCTAAAAATACCACAATACATAACTTACCGTACCGACCATCCTGACGGTAGAGCACATGCCGGTACTGCAGTCATTGTGCACCAATCCCTCTCCCATCACCTACTCCCACTGCCTACACACGATTTCCTACAATCCACCGCAGTCGTAATCAAAACCTTCTCCTTTCCTATTACCGTTGCATCAGCGTATTGCCCTCCAAACCAATCCATCTCCAATATCCAATTTAGTTCCTTCCTCATTTCCTTAGGACATCATTTCATCTTGGGTGCAGACTTAAACGCCAAGCATCAACAATGGGGTTCAAGAACCACGAATTCTCGTGGTCGAACATTGCTGTCTGTACTCAATTCCCAAAATTTTACCCTTCTTCCACCCAACTCACCTACCTACTGGCCCACTGATCCTAACCGTAATCCCGATATCCTCGATTTGTTTATCCATAATGGTTTAGGTGCTCTCAACCATTCCGTTGCCCGTCTTGACGAGCTTTCCTCAGACCACAGCCCATTAATACTCCAAGTATCACTAGCTCCTATTCCTAAACCCTCTCCTCCGTCCTTCATCAGAGGCCCAGTTAACTGGAAACTCTTTCATCAAATCCTCTCCGATAAAATTGACCTCAGAGTAACCCTGAAAACCTCTGAAGACCTGGACAATGCAGTACATTCCTTCACTACCAAAATTCAAGAAGCAGTCTGGACTGCTTCCTCCCCTGATCACTCCTCAAAAATCCTTAAGAAACATAATTTACCTCAACACCTCCTTGACCTAATCCACATAAAACGCCGTGCCAGATTATTATGGCAACGTACCAGACATCCAGCCGACCGCCACTCCTACAATTATCACTGTAAAAAATTAAAAAAAGAATTAGCCACCTTCAGATCCCAATCATTCAATTCCTACCTCACCACACTCTCTGCTCATGATAATTCCCTTTGGAATATCACCAGAAAAATCCTCAAATCCCATCATATTTCCCACCCTCTTCGACGAGATGATGGCTCCTGGGCAGCATCTGATGAAGATAAAGCCGAGGAATTTGCCAAACACCTTTCCTATACTTTCGCTCCTCATCCAGAATCCCATCCCAGCCACACAGTAAAAGTAGAAGAATCCCTCTCAATACCTATCCCACTCTCCTTACCACCTAAAGCTGTTAATCCCTCTGAGGTCAAATACCTTTTACGGAAAATCACACCTCGCAAATCTCCTGGATATGACCTTCTAACCCCACAGATCCTTCGACAACTTCCATCTAAAGCCATCATATTTCTTACATATATATACAATTGCATCCTAAGAACTACCCACTTCCCTCTTTTATGGAAACATTCCACCATCGTCCTCTTCCTGAAACCAGGCAAACCTTCCAACAATACAGCATCCTATAGACCAATTAGCGTACTCCCAATCCTCTCAAAAATTTTTGAAAAGATCCTACTGAAACGAATCCTACCTATAATTGAATCCTATAACCTTCCTACTCATCAATTCGGATTTCGTTCCCAACATTCCACTGTCCAGCAAGGACTCCGAGTTGTTGACCATTTATCCTCAACCCTAGAAAGCAAGCAGTATTGCTCGGGTGCATTTCTGGACATAGCGCAAGCTTTTGACCGGGTATGGCACGCCGGATTACTCTTCAAGCTTAAAATCCATCTACCACAGTCCTTATACCTAGTACTCCGATCCTATATTTCCGACCGCTCCTTCCGAGTTCGCTGTGGCACCGAATTCTCCGACTGTTACTCAATTGAGGCTGGCGTTCCTCAAGGCAGCGTCTTGGGCCCCATCCTTTACATTCTCTTTACCGCTGATATTCCTGTCCATCCCGATACCCTCCTGGCAACTTTCGCTGATGACACTGCTATCCTTTCTTCCAACTCAGATCCTGAAACAGCGTCCGCAAACTTACAAAGGCACCTCTTCCTGATTGAACACTGGTGTAAGAAATGGCGCATTAAGGTAAACGAATCTAAATGTAAACACATTACCTTCACCCTTCGGCGTAATACCTGCCCACCAGTTTATTTTAACTCCATCCAGCTTCCTTTCTCAGATACAGTCCGGTATCTTGGCTTTCTCTTAGACAGACGACTAACATGGAATCCACATACTCGACTTAAAAGACAGGAACTTAACAGACGATATGGCCAGCTATATAGACTACTGAATAGAAAATCTAAACTTTCTGGTGAAAACAAATTACTGATCTACAAGACAATACTGAAACCCATCTGGACTTACGGACTAGAACTATGGGGAACAGCCAAATTTTCTAACATCAAACGCATTCAATCCTTTCAGTCTAAAGTCCTCCGTACAATAGTCAATGCTCCCTTCTATGTAACCAATAAAACCCTACATCAT